TATTATTCTGAATCTTCGAAAAGCCGATCGGGAGAAAAAAAAAATCAAACGACCGTCCGGTAAACTGTGTAGCTCCGTTCTGACGATTCATCTTCTCCGAGCAGATCTGGTATCTCTCCTTCACCGATTTGAATTTGTGTCTCTTTCGCTCAGTTTTTAGTTTCTTTGTAACGTTGATTGATTTTTTGCCTTCCAGTGATTGTTACGCGATGGCTGCTCCTCCTGCTAGAGCTCGGGCTGATTACGATTACCTTATTAAACTTCTGTTGATCGGAGACAGCGGTAGGTTTCTTCATTCAGATCGCAATACTGCATTTTATTCAATCAATTTATTTTCCTTTTCGTTGATTGATTCTCGCGATTTGTCTTTGTTGATACGGTTTTAAGTTTTGTTTGATGGATCGAAGCATCAGTGATTTGAGTTTTCCGATCTTCCGTTGTACGATTTAGCCCTAATGTGATTTAGTGACACCTCTTACTCAGTTTTACTCAGATTTGAGTTTCCATCAGCTTTGAATGTTGATTTCTTATAGAGAATTCTGAGACCTTGGAATATAGTGTGCTCAAACGATTTTAATTAAGTTTCCATTTTACTCACTTGTGAGCATATGATGTTCAAATTTACAAGCCTTCCTAGTTTGGTATTAGCTGGAAAAATCTACAAATTGTAACTATTTCATGATACTCTCTTAGATGCTTTTTGTCGCAAATGGTTTAGATTAGTCTTAACTTTGTATGTATTACACACCTTTCTTTGAGCCGAATTGATTGAATGTTCCTTTTGTTGATTGCTGTAACTGTTTCAATTTATGGATCGATTATTCAAAAGTTTATTATTTATTAAACTTGTCTTCCTGTATCACTTTCTTCAGGTGTGGGTAAGAGTTGCCTCCTCTTACGTTTCTCAGATGGCTCGTTTACCACTAGTTTCATTACAACTATTGGGTATGATGATGTCTTCTTTGCATGAGACTCTTATCAAATGCTCTATGTAGTTGTCTGTTCCCATTCAAGTTGAATTTTTTTGTTGTTGTTGACAGAATTGATTTCAAGATAAGGACTATAGAGCTGGATGGGAAGAGAATTAAGCTACAGATCTGGGATACTGCTGGACAGGAGCGGTTCCGGACTATCACAACTGGTTTATCTTCGATTTTGCTTCAGAATACGCCATATGCTTTTTAAAATTTGTTACTGTAATTTATGCATTCTTGCCTTCCTCACTATGGGGGAAATCTTGAATTGTCACCTAATTGGCTTGTTCTTATTGCAGCATACTACCGTGGTGCGATGGGCATTTTGCTTGTGTATGATGTGACCGATGAATCATCTTTCAACAGTAACTACTTTCTTTACTTTAAACTTGCATTTTAATTAGTTCTATATCAAGCTTTATGCAACTACCAATCTTTTGCAACTGTTCTAAACTTTATATGCTTCTATCGGTTAGCATTATTATTTTCTAGTCAACTAATTTGCTCTTTTCTCTATCCTTTGTTTTCTTAAATTCCAGACATCAGGAACTGGATCCGTAACATTGAGCAGCATGCATCTGATACTGTCAACAAGATTTTAGTGGGGAACAAGGCTGATATGGATGAAAGCAAAAGAGTATCTCTCTCTTTTACCCTTCCCTTGTATCATCCTGCTTGTTTATTAGATGGTTTTGTTTGGCTAATACACCAATTTGCTTTGTTTTTTATCAGGCTGTGCCCAAATCTAAGGGCCAAGCTCTTGCAGACGAATATGGAATCAAGTTTTTTGAGACTGTACGTTGTTGTTCTGGGTTTTGTTACATGTAAAAATATAAATAGGCAAATGTCTAATTCTTTTCATTTCGTTAATGTTGATGATTTTGCTATTGCAGAGTGCCAAGACAAACTTAAACGTTGAGGAAGTTTTCTTTTCAATTGCTAAAGACATCAAGCAAAGACTTGCAGATACCGATGCAAAAGCTGAGGTTCGTTTCAGCATTCAAATTCATTTTCACTTCCATCATCATACATAGCAATTTGGTAAATATCACATTTTAGTATGTGCATCAACCATGTTAATGCCAAAAAAATTTGTATCCTTTTGCAGCCACAAACTATCAAAATCAACCAATCCGACCAAGGTGCAGGGACATCTCAAGCTACGCAGAAATCAGCGTGTTGCGGTTCATAAAGACCTGGTCCACGACGCCATCAAAGGAGAGAATCAGGCTACTGAAAGGGAAACATGGTATTTCTTAACCTTTGGAAAGAACAAAAATGGGAAATCTTCTATGCTATTTCTATATGAGATGGTGTTTCTTCGTATTCTTTAAACTTCTCCCTTTCCGTCAACGGTATAGTCTGAACTCTGAAGGACACAATTCGTAATCCATATTTCTTGTATGGATTCTCTCTGACATCAGTTATGACTTATGATAATATCAGTTTATCTAACTCATGCTAACGATCTTTTTCTAATTGATCATACTCTGAAAACTGGTACGACTTTATATCATCCATTTTAATGGATTTAAATCTATTATTCATGTAACGAATTTGTGTAGACATACATTACACACAGAAAGAATGAAAATAATCTTTGTAAATTACATTAAAATTTTCAAAACCTAACTAGAGACAAACGTGCACAAACAAACAACTAATTTACAAACTTCAAATCAATTTGTGGAACCAAAGTCTTCCCAATGATAAATACAATATCATTCTCCAACGGAGTTAGATTCAAGTCCAAGCATAAATCCTTCTTGCTGCTGTTGCATCGATTCAAAACCGGTCTAGTATAAACCGCAGAAGAGAGAACTGATTGTTCGGCGATGATGTTTGCCCTATGTTTTCTCATGTGACCGCCTAGAGCTTGACCGGTCCCAAACATTTGACTGCAGATTGAACACTTATGTATATCATTCCCATTGTTTCCGTGCTTCACCTGTTCTTGGTCAACGCTCAGCTTAGGTTTCTTGTGGCTAGCTCTATGACCTCCGAGAGCTTGGAACGAATCAAATGTCCGGTTACACGTTTTGCATTCAAAGTGGTTATCTTTGGTTTTGCTTCCGGTAGATTTGTTTACAACATCGATTTGTTTGACCACGAAACTCCGAGATAACATCATAAGACTTTTTACTATGTCTATATGTTCGATGGATTCTTCATAATCGGACCGGTCTCTCTTCATGTTTTTTCGATTGATTATATCTCTAGAAGAGAAAAGAGCAAAGATATAACGAAGTAAAGAATTAGGTTTTGGTTGGTTTACCTAGAAATTGTGAGAAGAAAAAGCACCTGACTTGTGTAATGAAGATCTTTGGGAGTAATGTATTATTTATAAGCAAAATAGATAAAAGTTTAATAGGTTTTGACTTTGTTTATTCGACCAGAAAAAGTCTTTAAGCTCATATATTCAAATAAATTAAGCAGCGTTACTGGTTTGACGCATGTACACATTTTTGTTGTTAAACAGAACGAATTAAGTCTTTTGCAACTGCGTCAAAAATATTATCAACTAAAACAAATTTACTTGTATTATATAAATCGGATAAGTGATGGATCGGATAGTGATTAATTATCCCTTTAGAATACTTTAATATTTACTTGAGGTGAAAATTTCCTTCACCGACTTAAGTTTTATCGACTCAAGCTTATGCCCATTATTTTATGTATTTTTGTTGTAGTATATAGATGTTTTGTTCATGTAATCAAGTGGTGAAGAAATACGATCAACTTCCTTTCTCTCTCGTCTCTC